TATATATATATATATTGCATGCATAGGGATCAATACTGTATGGTGATTATCTGTTTCGGGCGTTAAGATTATACAAAATATACAAAATTAATTTCTATGTTCATATCGTCTATAATTATAAACGCTCAATCCCGATATTGAGCAATCTTCCCTCGTAGATAGAGAATTTCTTAAAAATAATACGCAATATATATATATATATATATATATATATGTGTGTGTGTGTGTGTATACAGGGTGTATCAAAATGCTTTTACAAATTTTGGGGGTGTGTTCCTTACATCAAAACAAGGAGAAAAGTCCATGTAAACATCCGCAGTTTATACAATAAAACATCGGCAAAAGTTCTCTCCTGGTGATTGATCAAAAGGCGAAATAAATTGCAAATGATACGGATATACGAGCTGCTCTTGAAGTAACCTCCATGCAGTAAAATGAGATGTACGACATGCTGGAGTCACTTGATCTATACTGATACCTGGATCGTCTCCGATAAGCCTCGAGAATGGAATGTTCGTAGTCAGCCTTACGAGCGGGTCTTGGTCTTGGTCCATAGTGTGTAGTGACACGGATTCTGTCTCAGCAACGCCATGATAATCAGTAGCAAAACTCTCGACTAGCTTCGGTCTGGAAATGCAATCTGATACAACCATTACCATTCGCGTGACCGTATGTAAAATTAATTTCTTCCTGCTCATTATATGAATGTCCTGCCATTGTTAAATGGAACGCTCCTCAGTTAACTCATTACTACACATGTTAAACTTTGAAGACAGACTAGCCACAAATGTACACAAATGACAAATATAACCTAGTCTACATGGCAAATTAATAACTCAAAAAACAAGAAATTGAAGACATGTTTATATGGATATTTGTCCTTGTTTTGGTGTGAGAAACCTGTCCCTCAAGAAGTATTTTTGCTAAAACACACACACACACACACACACACACACACACACACACACACACACACACACACATATATATATATATATATATATATATATAAATTGAACATAGAAGTCAACATTTAGAGGCGACAGTCTGTTTCATGCTAGAGGCAATCGTCAGGCCACGGGTGCTGTTATTTTTCTCGGCTATTATAGCCGAGAACAATAACAGCACTCTGTATCATCAGATAGCACTTCCAAAAGAAGTGCTATCTGATGATCCAGAGTCCTTTAAATGGGCTCTGGTAAAATAAATTATTATAATGGAACCTTTAAATGGTTTGTTTTTCATTTATATATATATATATATATATATATATATATATATATATATATATATATATATAATAGATTATAATAAAAAGAAAATTATATCGCTACAAAAAGCTTTCATGTTTCAATGCTATAATTGTACTTCCTCAAGTGATGGTAGATACCTAACCATCGCCTGAGGATAAACAATCATAGTATTGAAACATGAAAGCTTTTATGTAGGGATGTAAAATGTTTTTATTATTATCTACTATAATAAAAATATCATTATATATATATATATATATATATATATATATGAAAAAATATACTGAAAAATAAACAAAAATCCTAATATGCGATTATGCTGTTTTAATGTTTAATGTCAACGTCGGACGTTTCGGTCTAATAGACCATCTTCAGGACATATTCATAAAACATAATTAACATAGACCATATTCAATTCAACATGAAAAAGACGATGGACATAAAAGCAATACCAATCCAAACAGATAACTGAAATCTTTTATAAGATCAGCGTTCCGTTTAAATATGATCACGTCGTCGTCAAAGGAAACCTACAATCTACATTCTACATTCAACATCATCACTTGATAAGACACCAGAGGTGTTGAAACAAAATGGCTATTTTTGTAGTGATTTTATAACATATTTATGTTATAATTTTTAAATAAATAATTATATTCGCTCTACTCTGTATTGAGCATTCTTTTAAGAATAGTAATTATTGGTTATTGGAATTTATTCCGTATACACCAATCATATACTTGGATATATATATATATATATATATATATATATATATATAGTAAAAAGTATCTGTCGACTATGGCCACCTCGACTATGGCCATTCCCTGATATTCTTCGTCTAAGATCAGATCCTGTAATATCACATATATAAAAAAAAGTGAGAGTGAATATGATGTTATTTAAATATATTTATGTGTAATGCTTAAACACTGCGTCTTTCTCGATTTTGTCATTTCCCTAATGCCTTTCTTGCTCTTTTTATAGATTATTCTTTTCTTTCTTTTCTCTTTTCTTCTATTGCTTTCGATTCGTTGTACTCTTTCCTCTTCTTTCTTATTCTTACATCTTTCTTTTTCTTTCTTATTTCCATAAAGTAGTCCTTTGTTTGTTTGCTCCTTTCTTTCTCCATCCACTCTCTACTGCCACTTACTATTTCTTCTTGTCATTTCGTTTCATTCTTCCCATAGCCTTATTTTCTCTGACTTTAACCTTCATCTTCGTCCTTGTTTTTCCTTTTGCCTGTCATCTTTTTCTTTCTCTATTCCCCACTTCACCTTTGCCACTCTCTTATCTATTCCGTTCTCTATGATCTCGCTCGTCCACCCACGACTACCTATCAATTTATTTACCTGTGCATCTGAGACAGGCTATCGCACAGGATTAACATACATGTCCCTGCCACTAAGTCCCCGAGCCACGCGCGAACAAGCACCACACGTGGAGAGATGACCACGATGGCGATGATGACCACTGCTAAGATGGCCGTAGCGCTGGAAACGAAGACGCTGATCTTCAGAGGAGGCGCGGTCGGTCTGTCCGTGGCAGTTCAGATTAGCGCTGCATTTGATGGTGAAGTAAGGATGATGAGGTCGGTTGCAGCTATGGCTTAATGTATTTATGGTTACAAGGGAGAAGAGCAAGTGGAAGAGAGAAATGGTTAAAAGAAAAGTAAGAGAAGGGAAGAGGGAGAAGAAAGAAAGAAAACAGGAAATTGATAAAAGAAAAATGATGATGAAAGAGTAAGAAATATGTGAAAAGAATTCGGTGAGATAAAATTGAATAAGGAAAGGTGGCCTAAAATGAGGAAGCTCGATAAACACGAGATCAGTGACGACAAAGATACACGGAGTAAAAGAAAGATAGAAGAAAAGAAGAAGAAAAAGAATTATAGGAATTATATAGCAGAAAAGAAAGAAAGAAAAATTCTGAAAGGAAAAGAGAGAGAAAAGAAATAGAGAATAGCAGGAAAATAAAGAATAAAATGGAGAGTAAGGAGAGAATAACGAAACGGAGAGTAAGGATAGAAAGAGGAAAAATTAAATGAAGAGTAAAAATAGAAAAGATGAAAATGAAATACAGAGTATAGAACAGTAGACAATGAAATGGAGAGTAATCACAGAAAAAAAGGAAAATGAAGATCGTAGGGAGAAACTAAAGGTTGTAGACAAATGAAATGATTCGCACATAAGATTAGCAACAACTCCAAATTAACAGATTCTCATTTGTCAGCTGATGGAAATCAGGTGAAATATAAGAATCAAGAAAACTAAAAGAGATTCGAAAGAAAAAGAGAAAAGTAAAGAGAAAAAAAAAACAAAGTATAAAATGAAGAGAAACTGAAGAAAAGAATAAAACACATAGATTAAAGAAAAAAAATAGATGGACAAAGAGAGAAAAAAATGATAGCAAGAATAGAAAAGGCTGCGTAAGAGGAATTACTAAAATACAGGAAAAGCGTCGAAGAAGATAAAGGTTCAATAAGTTTGGTTTTAGATTTAAGGAAAATCGAAGAAACATTGTCACTTCGGAAGACAGAAAGAGAGAGAAGGAATGCATATAAGACAAAAAGAAATTGAATGAGAAGAAAGGCAAGAAGAAAAAAATGTAATCAAATTATAAGAGAGAAGGAATAATCAAAGTGAAAAGTGAGAGAGAGAGAAAGTAAGAGAAGACAACATAATTTCGTTTTTAATGGAGCCACCCAAAAATGTCTATAATATTCTAACAACAATAGCAAACATTACGATATAGATATTCATATAAATTCGGAGGATAGATCCTCAGTGCCAAATGAGGACTTCAACGGAAGTATAAAGAGTGAAGTTCTGAAGATGAAAAAAAGAAAAGAATAGGAAAACATAAAGAAACATAATTCAGAAGAATTAAATTGAAATACGAGAATGGAAGATATAATTTTCTCACAAGTTTATAAAACTTTCTGAAAGCAATATTTACGTCACAGATCAATAAAGAAAATTGAACCGAAAAAATGTTCGGAATTCTGACGTGAGGAAATTTCCTTCTGAATTAACTTCAACTGACGATAGAAAGGCTTTCAGTTCTAGACTATGAGTTTTATTGGACAAATTCCCTTGGCATAAACACTAAACCTCATAAAAACGAAGTCCCATCACCAGTCATATTGAATTATTCCTATCAGTAACATTCACACAATCCTTAGGAATCAAAATATTAAAATTCAAGAATAAAAACTATCTTGTTAATCTATTCCAGTAAATTAAATTCCGAAACAGTTTGCCAAAGAGGATGAAGTGTGTTATGTCTCTAATGACCATATGAAAGACAGACGAATAACAACGCCTTCACTGAAGGTGGGGAGGGCGTTAAGGTTGACAGTTAACCATGGATTCTTACATGTAAGTTGTAGGGTATTATGGTTCATGGTGACAAATCATAAGAATAGTCCTTGGCGTTTACCAAATTAGAACTTATAACTGCCTGGGTGAACTTTATCTAAATGTAAAGTTTAGAATTCTTGCCTTCATTAAGAGCAATTGCTTAACATGATAACATTTCCAAATAAAATCCTTCGTTTACTAAAATGATAATAGTATTATTAAGCATATTCTTACCTCTTGCAGCTCAGTGGCTTTAGCTCCTTTTTAGGTGTGAAATGAATAAAAACAGGAAACATTCAAAGACCGAGCAGCTAATGTTACTTTTGGTTGGAATTTATAATTTTTTTCTCTTAAAACAATTTTAAAAGTGGGTTTCCCAAATCCACTAAAGAAGAAATCGAATGAAAGGAAAAAAGAGAAGAAAAAACGATAAAAGAATGAATATGAAAAAGATAAGAAAAATAGAAGATGGAGATGGAGAACAGAAAAGATTATTTAACAATGCGTGAAGAGAGAAAGAGAGTAATAGATAGATAGATAGATAGATAGATAGATAGATAGATAGATAGATAGATAGATAAATAGATAGATAGATAGAAATATATATATATATATAGAGAGAGAGTGTCTGAGAGAAAAAGCGAGAGGGGGGGCAATAAATGATAAATGAATAGGCAAAGAAAGAGAACCAAAAATGAAGTGCAAAAAAAAAAAGGAAAATAAATAGAAATGAAAAAGTGAGAAAGAAAGACTAGAAAAAAATGATATAAAAAGCAAAGAAGAGTCTCATGAAAAAAAAAACGAATACAGAAAAAGAAGAAAAAGAGAAAAATCCGGAAACGAGAAGAAGAAGAAGAAGAAGAAGAAGAAGAAGAAGAAGAAGAAGAAGAAGAAGAGAATAGAACTGACGGAAGTGGAGAGTATATAAACCGTTACCTTTTCTTGAGTGGCTGTAATCATAGGCAGTGGAAGAGCGAGTTTTTCGGGTGGTAGCAAGTAATGAAGTTATGGCGTGATGGGCTTCGAGACATACGAGCATGCTGGAGGGTGGGTGAAAAGGTGAAGTGAATTGGAGGGAGGGGGTAGGAAGAAGTGCTAGCCTGTAGCTATTGGGGTGGGTCAAAGGATAGTAGTAATTGAGGGTCATGGCCACGAAGATAGAATCGCCATTTGGGAGGCTTTACTTAAGTAGCAATAATCCAAGAGTAGGTGTGTTCATCTATCTATCTATCTATCTATCTATCTATCTATCTATCTATCTATCTATCTATCTATCTAGTAATAGTTATCTATTTCATTCCATTCCAATCCTCTATATCTTAAATGTCTCTCAGTATCTGTCTATGATCTTTATGTATTCCTATAATATTTCTTCCATCAGTTACATTTCGAATCGTGCAAAGGGCAATATAAAAAGACGTTATCCTCTAAGATATGTATATTTATATGAGCTTCTACCCAAATAGACAAAAGCATTTCGAAAATGATAAGAAAATAGCTGAAGGTCGATATATATATATTAATTATTTATTTAAAAATATGATTCCTTGGCTACATAAGAATTCTCATGTTTCAAAAACGAAAGCTGAAACCATCAATATGATGATTAAAATTAAATTGAATTAAAGTAACAAATTTTGTTTTCATCCTCGAACGAAAATTTTCAGAATTTGGGAATTTTGGGCTAATTTTTGAATTGGACTTCCTAATTTCATTTTACCGTTGGTTTTCGGCAATTATATGAAATATATTGATGTAATTTTAAAACGAAAATAATATATTTCTAACCTTCAAACATAATTTAAAATCTAAGCTCTACTTCTTATGGACCACTGTTTTTTGAAAATAAAAAACAAAAATACTAAAGAACCCTAGATTATTTACCTAAAGTGATCTTTCCTATTTTTCTACATACCTTCACACACACACACACACACACACACACACACACACACACACATATATATATATATATATTATCGCACAAACCTTCATAATTGAATCAATAAGCTGTCAGATCCTCATTCACCGTCAAGAAACCGACAGGAGAGTTCATTATAAATATATATATATATATATATATATATATATATATATATATATATATATATAATGAACTCTCCTGTTTCTCTATATATATATATATATATATATATATATATATATATATATATATATATATATATATATATATTATTTTTTTTTTTTTTTTTTTATTCTTATTGTACATTTCTCTGTTTTAATTTTGAATCTCCCGTGGAAGCCTGAAGAGCGGGAAGCAGAAACCGGTTGCTTCCCCCCCCCCCCTTGTTGTGTTTTTTTTTTATTATTTAATATTGTTTTAATATGTCTTGTAATATTAAATTTTATACTTTTATTTCGATCATTAAATTTTGTACCTACAAAATATCTTTAAATATATATATATATATATATATATATATATATATATATATATATATATATATATATATACCACCTTCAATCGTCAGGCGGGTAGCTTGAGTACAGAAGAAACAGAAGTTGATTCTTCTTCTCCCTCATGAACGTTTCAGTGGGGTTAACTTGCTGGCGCTCATCTCCTCTCCAAGCCGAAGAACACGATATATGGTGTGCGTCACCATAGGCCTTGCCTTTAGATTTGTCCTTCTCCGGTACTACCCATATCCCTTCCCATGGATATTAGCACGCAAGTAAATGTAATGAATTTGACTCGAATTCCATAATCTGTGTTGGTATTCATTATTCCACTGTGCCGCAATTACTGCAAAAACAGTGATTTGATAATAACTGCTATATAAATACATGATAATATTTTCTTTGACTATTTGACCTTATTCTAACATTCCGGAAGTGCTTGAATTCCATTTTAATTAACTGACTCTAGCTTTGAAATTGGAATAATAATTAAATTGTTGACCAAAGATGCTGATGTCACCAACATTAATAAATATATTAAGTGAAGTAGGATTTCCAAACACAAATCGTTTGTTTTGATTTTTTGGTCGACAAAACAAAGTCAAGACATGCGTTGTTAAGCAAGAGACGATGACTTTCCAGTTTCCTTGATTTGTAAATAATCTTTTTTCCCCTTTTAATTGAAACATTACAACAATGAAAATGACGATTGCAATTCTCTGCAGCAACATCAGAGTGAGTTTTCCGAGTTGCCGTACCTTCCTAATCACTATTCAACTCATCCAACGTCTGCATTGTCATCATAATTGACACCCAAACACTGTAACTGTATTTGAGCTTCCGGTGCGAATGCCAAGACGTACAGCATGCCGTTTCCAATTTTCTGGCGGAGTGAATTGCATAATGGTTCTTTTTTTTTTCTTTCTCACAGATGTTGTCGAATTTAACCCTTCCCTGACAAAATAAAAGATAAACAACGTACATGCGCAAAATTAAAAAATATGAAATGACGACAATTTACCCATCGCACCAGTATATAAAGTATGGCAGAGTTGTTTAGTATTTATTCATTTTATACTTTATATATATATAT